TTGATTGAGAACTTTATATTTTTATTATGTTTGATCAACGGACGGACAGATAACCCAAAATTAGTCATTAAACCTTTTGAATTATTGTTAATTTAATTTAAATGTAGGTAATTACTTATACATAAAAAAATTTTATGAGACTATTCTACATATATAATACATTGGTAAATCTGTCATCTGATCACTTAAAACTTATTGGAACTCTTTCAGGAAAGCACTTAGAACTCAAGAAAATAAAGGTCAAACAACTCAGTTGCCAAAAGCTGGTTAAATTACAAAACTACTTTTATAAGTCGACTTAATGATCTTGATACTCTTGTCCGGTGTACGTGACAACACGACAGATGCTCAGAGATCACACAGTGCGAACGATTCGCACATTCTCATAGCTTTAATGACGCATAACTTACTTTTATTAACCAGCTATAATTAGAAAAGCTTAATAAGCTTCTGATTATCCGTTGACATTTAGGATATTGTTATAAGAATTTATGACACTTTTTGTTGTTTGCAAAGATATTAGTTCTTATGAAGGGCTATAACTACGTGAGTGCGAGTGTTAATTATAGTTTTTATAACAGCCTTTGTTTTATACTTGATCGAAATAAATTAATTTATATCAATTACATATGTTCTACAATATGTACACTTTATCAGCGATAACTAAATTTACCATAAATCTAACTCCCGAGGTATCGTTGATAGCAACAATTACAAACAATGGTTGTCTCTTCTTGCTTCTAAACAAAGGCTAAAGAAAATCAACAATAGTGGCGCGAATGTTCCGCTGTATTACAATAATGGTATCGATTATAATTTGCGTGCGATGCGGCACGAGATACGGGCGGCTGCGACACGTAAGCGACAGGCGTCCGCAATCGGCGTCGCGATCAGTGCTTGCGCAGCGCGCCGCTCAATACTATCGTAGCGCTGCGATCGCGGACATGCCCCCTCGCGCCATTACGATTGGTGCAGTCGACGTGTACGCACCTATTTATAGGTGCACGATTAACTATTTTTTAATTAGCGTCTATGCCAGCATAGACAGTAGGTTCTCTGATTTCACTTAAAAATTAAATGTCAAGTCATATGACAATTATTCACTTTCGTCTTTTTATTAATCTTACGTTTTTATTTAAACAAAAGGGCTTATTTCTGATTGTCACACGCTTATTAAAGCTTATATTTATTATTTATTATATTAAACCTCTTTCGTTTTCTATGTGAATATCCTGGTAGTGTGTGTACGTAACTTATTTAAACTAGTTATTCCCGCGACTAAGAATTTTTCATTTTGATATTATGAAGATTCCCGAAGACGAAACAATTTTTAAAATCAGTTCAGTAGTTTTGGAGTTTATTCAATTCAGTCAAATGTTTCCTCTTTATTATATTAGTTTACATATTGTGACACCTGGTTTTTCCCATCTTTCTTTTCCCAATTTACTAATGGTCTTTGCTCTGCTATATGAAAAAATATGTAAATAATTATATTATAATTATTATTTACCCCTCATAAAGAAGCAATCAAGCTAGAGTAGCGTGAGTTTGCTGTACAAACATTTTAATAATTTAGGATACAGAGTAAAAGCTTTTTAATATTACTTACTAGTTTTTCGCCAGCTGTTTCACCTTCTTCGTTCTGTATTAAACACATAAACTTTCTATGTTATGTATTATACATATAAATATTTAAGGTTCCTCTTGAATTATTTTGTTTGTTGATTTAAACGGCATTAACATGCGTTATGTAGTTTCAAAGATCTCAGAGTACAGACAGCGGGAAGCAACTTTATACTATATATATAATATAGATTTTTACTAAGTAAAACTATCCAACGAAAGTTTGTCAAATTTTCGTTAAAATTATCGGTACTTTTTTATAGATTATGCAGTTAGCATGCAGTTAAGATATTAATGGTGATCGATAATTAGCTATCGCAAAGCCCAGTTACACAGCTGACAAATATGTTTGCTATGAAATAAAAAAAATCAAAATATTGAATTGACAGTTGAATTCAGTTTGCATTTAATGGATAATTCGCACTCTAAATTTATTTGTAGAGACTTGTCAAATGATTCAAAGCTATTGATATGAGAGTTAGCGACCGAACTTGGTTAATTTTACGACCGTAAAATCTATAAAGATTGCGTACCCTGGTACTCGAGCACTTAGCTAAAAACCATTGGCAGAGCTATAACTATATAAGAATGTTTGATGCTTTATTATATGTTCTGTTATAATAACGTATTTTAGAACCTAATTAAAATTCGTCTTTTTAAAATATGATACAAAAGTCGAGTCCAAGGTATTGTGAAAATGGAAATGAACAAATCATTTAGAATAATAACAAACAAAAACATATCATTTTAATAGAATATATTATGTTTCAAAGAAAACCATGTGATAGAAAAACGTTTCTAACCGATGATATAAAAGTGTTATAAAATATGAGATCGCTACGCGGAATTTTATTCCCATGGCTCATTTTCTACTTAGCATTCTTAATTCAAAAGACATAAAGTGAAGTTCACCGTTTATTTACGATCAGTACAATACAAAAGCGGCAGCGGATAAAAACTTTATTACTAAAAGAAATTGTTGTTTTTATAAATCCTTGTTTTCGTAAATATTGTTAAAAAGAAGTTAAGATTATAAAAATCACGAGAACTTTTTTAATTTTAACAAAAGAAAATATCTCTTTTACTTTTAAATAAAAATTATTGCAAAATTGAATAATATAAAAAGTACTAGAATTAGAAGACCATTATTACTTTTTTCCTGCAAAAAACGGGGAGCTGTCACCACGTCACCACCGATGGCATTACCTTTAGTACAGCGGCATGCAAAACTGTCTCTAGACCAGCCTTAGAAGGCAGCGATTAATAAACGCGGCCGCGTCAATAAAAGTCACCGTTCGACCATACACATGTCCCTCCCTCGCCAGCAGGTGTACGACATAGGACGTATTCATAGGGTTGTCTATTTTTTAATATATTATTAACTTATTAAGTGAATGTTTAAAAAAAATGATTTGTGACAAATATAGATTATACTAGCTTTCGCCAGCGGCTTCATCCGCGTGGTCCCTAGGGAAATGTTAAATGGATAAAAAGTATTGTATTATTTAAGTCAGCTAATACCCTATCTGTATACCAAATTTCATCCAAATCCGTTGAGTAGTTTCGGCGTCATTGACGGACAAACATTTAATCAAAGAATTTTTTTTATAATATTAATAGGAAATATGCATGATTATTTTTATTTCAATGCTTTCAGGCTGCTGTTTTTACACGCACATGACTTAAACTTAAACCTAGGTGACTTGAATGTTTTATTTGAAAATGCAATTATTGAAAAAAAAGCCCTAACATCGAACAAACGTTATTGGGGTAAGATATAGTGAATCAAATAATGAATAATCTTTTTTCTTATGTACTTATATTAAGGGTGTAAGAATATTCCTGAATACTACTCAAAATCAATATTTTTGTTGCGTAACAAAAAATAATACCATACTAGTAATTTTAAGGCTGTACCCAATTACAATTTAACAAACGTGTTTCTTTAAAAAAAAAACTATTTTTTATTAATTTATAATCGCAATGTAAGTTAGAAATTAATTTATTCAACCACGCCGACGTTCTAAGATCTCGAAAGAAATTTAATGGCGTTCAAATAACTTCGACACAAATAAAATAATAAATTATTTTAGAATTTATTTTTATAGATAAAATCGTGAATTCTCTGGCTTCGCCGCACCTTTTACTGTGGAATCCGAAATTAAATTTCGAATACAGTAATGGCAGCCCTAGTACGGAAACTTTGTACTATGTAAAGATATTCGCCTGTAGACGGATACTGTCAACATTTTCATAGAGGGAATTATAAGCGAAATATTAAACGTAGTTTAAGTTTAATCTTATTTTATTAATACAATAAACTATTATTATTAATCATATGATTAATAATAATGGATTTTAGTATACCTACCATTTCAATATTTCTATTAAACCTCGGAAAGCCAATTTCAAAGTAACACTCGCCATAACTTCCTGGCTTCGTTTATCGGTCGGGCAAATATAAAATATAGACTTTTCTATATTATCTCCGTTCTGAGCATTTGAGTACCTTCGTAATTTTAGATTTTCATAGCTTTAGCTAATATGAAGTTATATAATATTTATTTATTTTATTATTATTTAATTTGCCATTCTTACTCCCGGAACACTACTAAAACGCGACTTAATCCGTCGCAAAAACTATATGATACAATTCAATTTGTCCCATTTCAATTTGTGGTACAGAGTTTTTAAGACTCTGTCGCTCGCATAATTTTTTTTTAAAGTTAGTTGACATTGATTTGTTGTAAAAGCTTTTAAAATAGAAAAATATTCAAAACCAGTGTCATTTCATTCTAAAACAAAACACAAACGCTCTTATCGTGATAATGCCCGCCCGAAAGGTGTGTAAGCGCTTTGCAATAATTGAACTAACGCCAGTCAAACGCATCCGGCCTTACAAATCTCGTTACCAACAACGTCGATCTGTCAATAAGCTTCTCAGTTAGGTGTTTAACGACGCAATAATTTGCATAGAGAGCCAATGGCAACACGTTCTATTCTCACGTCCTTTAGGTTGCCTTTTAAAGTATCGAATCCTATTTCTAGAATATTATGAAAAACACAATGGTTGTGACAGGCTGATTAGAACTCTGTTTATCTGATTAACCATCTTTATCATTGACATGATCAAATATATTTTTGACCTCAATCAAACCTTTTACTGCGACATTTATAACAAAGTATTCCATCTTGAGTACTTCCATTATTAAAATGCTAAGTATCAATTACTTGCCCACATGAATACCTTTAGACATACTTCATTAGATAGGAAAAATAAATAATACTTAAAAAAGTATATAGCTCTTGATATCCAATTAAATGATGTAAAAAAACCAATCAATGATAATGAAAAGCCTTAACTACTGTCGTCTTACCATTAACTATAGTTTCATACACTGTTAACCAGCGAACGGTTACCTGAAAAAGGAAAGATTATGGTTTTATTATTCAATATACGACCTCAAACGGCGACTGTGAACATAAGATAAAGAAAAAAAAGGGATAGATCCTTGATAATTGAAAAAAGATCGCCCGGAATCAATTAAGAAGTTGGCATATTCAACGCTGAGTTGGGCCCATTCAGATTTCGTTGGCGTACCGGGCGTAAGCCGCGCGCAATCTGACATTTATGAGTGCCATAAAAACGCTCAAGTAGTGACTTTTACTACTTGTTTAGTGAACATAAATGTCTTCGCGTTCCCCGCTCAACGTCGCCCGTATTTAAAAGCGCACAGTTTCGTGAGCAGTTTTACTCCTTTTGCCACTTTTTATTTACAGCTCACATTGCTGTTATGCAACTGTATAATGCTTTGGTTACTTTTCAGAGGCGATTTATGAGTGTCGTCTTTTGTCTTTATTTTAGCGGCAGAACATGTTTGCTCGGGTTTTGTTTTGTGAATTTCTGGATTGCACCACGAGACAAATTGGGTTTCGAGACGACGAATACTTTAGCTTTAGTATTGTATTTGTCATTACTATCTTTACAATTATTGCTGTTGTTAATATTTACTCATAACTTTATTAGATAGTTAAAGAAAATTAACTCACTACCGGCTGCACCACATCAATATTTCTATATTTGAATTCTTGTAAAACGGACCGACGTCTAACTTATTCTTAGGAAGTGAATCGCGGCACTTACTCATCAACAGACACGAATGAGTATTCCAATACCGTTCGTCAAAATACTCTCATGTTAGTACTAAACTTAAACTTAGGCCACCCACATATCTAAGCCTTGCACATACCAGGTTTATAGTAAGCCTGTCCAAGAATAATAATGTTGCTCCTACTCGAAGGCCAGCAGACAATAGAAACTGTTGATTGCTTTTTGTCCTTTCTAGATTGTGACGTCATTTGTTTATTATAGACTCCAGGTTTTCTAAAAGTGTAACGTGACGTCATGACAACTGCGTATATTCAAGTAAGCAAAAGCATAGCAAAATCAGCAGATTTTTCTATTGTATGTTAATCATTCATTATTGTATGGGAATCTTTATTAAAAAGTTTAATTACATCCAGATATTCTATATCGTGAGTTAATAACATTTCAAATAAACGAGGGTTATATTAATATCGTGCACGCATATATTATGCGTCGATATATTTTTTGTCCTTCCACTCTGACTAACTGGAAAACAGATCAACTATTTTGGTAGCCTACTAGACTAAAATAATACTTACATTTCCATTATATGTTTGTCCGTCTATCAGTTACAGGCATATTAACCGTCAATCAATTATTATATAATTAATGCTCTATTCTTAAACAAATTAAGAGAAAAAAAAATTGGAAATATTATGAAAAATAAAATACAAAAACTTCGAAGTTCCATATTTTAAAACAATATAATTAAGGAACATTAAAAATTGATGGTAAAATCATATTCTAAATTTCTATGGGCATCTGTTTAAATCGCCTAACTAAAACATTAACAGTTAAGAAATGCCAATTCAAATCGCAATCGTAGATCAAACTTATACTACCATTTATTGCTTTATCATTATAATCCATCAAACTGATCACGTGCATTCATTTTATGAAGCCGCTGTTTATTACATTATTTATGACGTGAGCTAAAACATCGGTAATTCTGCAGGTGGCCGTTTGTATTGCTTTGGCATTATTTGATCAATTTGTCAATCCATCCTTTGTAACTCTGTTAATTTTATACGCTACTGTATATTAATGGATGACATTTTAGTTGTAATTGTATTTGTAAGTGATTATTGCCGGTAACATTTCTTGTTTCCAACAGTCGAACTTACTAAATAAAAGACTTCTGCAAGCGATTTCAAAGCTCAATTTGTTGGTAGTAAATTTCAAAGTGACTTTTATAATAGTCTGATAGTATAATAGTGTGACAAATGCATCATACGATTTCAAAATAAATATTGGGGATAAACGTATGAAATTGCCGTATGTGTGGTGAGATCTTTTATATCTTCAAAGTTACCACTACCAGTACTGATGATAAATCGTGCTTTGTTTGGAGTACTCAACAGTGAAACAGTTTAAGAATATTGCTCAAAAATTCGACAAAGTATTAACTCTTATGTCTATACATATTTAACATTTATGCCCTTTCGATAGAGTTAAGTATGACCTTATGAACTGCATCAAATATTTTATACGATTTCCTAGGCAGATATTTTTACTGCATTAGCTAGTTTATTAAGAATATCACTATCAATTTTGGAGTTCCTTTCAGCTCAATGCTAGTGTCATCGTTAAGCAGATTTGAAGGACTATAGGCTGGCGACTCGAGATAATATTTTTTCATGAACCATCCTAAGACCTTGAGAAAGTTACTCACCGTAATTGCGGAAAGCGTTAACCACTTATCGAACTTCTTAAAGCAGGTAAGCTTGAATTTAAATATTATTATGGTGCTAATCTGAACTTATAAATGCTAATGGCTAATCCATTGCTCACTTGCGATTATCGTAGAGAATCCAATTTTATTGACACGCAATAATTCGATCTTAAATAAAGTTTCATTTCTGGATTTGGCCAAAGGTAGGGTGAGAAAAACTTCAATTTAAAGATTCTACATAAGTTTTACGTGCACTCGGAACTTAACCGAAACCTTTAGAAATTATTAGTGTTCTAAATCGAAAAGTTTTGCATGAAACATACCGAGCTCCTTTTATAAATTATAAACAAGACCTATAAAGCTACTCTGCTTACTATTCCAACGGGCTCACACATAGCCCGCTCCAAAAGAAAGTCCTTCTACATACCATAGTAATGTATTCGTCCGCCAAACGATACCTTGTTTTCGCTACAAATTAGACAATTAGGAGTCGCCGTGTGACGCTAAATCTATTCAATTAAAGCTGAGTCAGCGCCGGTCACCTACCGCGGCGATTTTTTAATCGTATGTATGCAACGTGCGAATCGCGTAGCCAGTTCGCATATCAATGTACTCGACAAATTGATGAAAAAAACGTTGACAGCGCGTGGCGTACACAGGCGAATGTGCGGGTTGTTTTGAAATAATTATTGCGATGTCGGATGGATAATTGCTGTTCGTATTTTAAAACAAAATGAGTTTTTATACGTATACAGATATTAGCATAGCATCAAAGGAATATGTCTAGGAAAAAATAAGACTTCCGTGTTTATTTCATGATTTTTGCTAATTAACTCGTATATTTTTAACTGCATACTGATATTGTTAATTGATATTTCGTTAAGTTATTAACAATTAAGTTGGAATATTTAAAAATAAATAAACTGATTTAGTTTTATTATGAAACAAACAAAACGTTTATATTTGTACGAAATCAAAGAAGAACAATAATTGTCATAGAAAGGTATTGATTTTACTCTCTTAAAAAAAGGTTATCCTTCGATTAACGAGTAACTATGCTTTTTGAAAGAGTTTCATCCGTTTTGTGATAAAACTGCCCTCTTGGACTATCGGTGTTTAAAAAATATGAAGTCATTCATTACCATCACCTGCTATTCCACATCCCACGTTTGTGACTGGTGAAATAAGACATTATTAGATTTCATGAAAGAACTGACATGAAATGCGAGTACTTTTAGTTAATTGAAAATAGTTTATGTAATCTGAAAAGAGTGAAACATTATTTACCTTTGATTAATAATAGCAACGTGCAACAATAGCTAAAGGGAAACAAACGCATGTCTGAATTAAGGCGTATCGCGCACCAGGCGTGTCGGACGCGCGGCGATGCGTGAGCGCGCGTCGATTGACGCTGATCTATAGATGAGTTTAGCGCAAACTAGACGATTTATTGCGTCTGCTAATGTTAACCGCTTGTATATGTAGTTAGATTGAGTAAGGGAATTTGCACATTCATCGCGACTAGGTGCATAATTTGCTGCTTTAACAAATATTTTTAATCAATTTTTGATGCTTTCTGACCTAGTCGCGACAAAAAAACGATTTATATTTTTGAAATAAAATGTGTTTGTATAATAATTAAAATCACTTTACTTCTGGCACAATAGCTTCAAACGTTTTGCTACTGCGTTATTCTAATTTTTAAAACATAAAAACTTCTTATGATAATGATAATATTTGCTAAATGTATTTAATGTTGAAGGTAAGAAAACGGATTTTGTTGCATTTATTATAAAAAAGGTAGGAATTTCGTTTCAAAAAGGGCTTTTAAAAACAATATTTTAATATTTTAGTTAAACTACATACCACGTCGCGTCTTTGGTATTATTAAAATTGTTTTTACAGTTTGCGTCTCTTTCATTATGGTTTGTTACGTTCAATATTGAAAAAAAGATAATAATAATTATATAAAACTAAAGGAATGTATCATGAGATGACGGCTGGTAGAAAAGAATGGAAAGGACATTCTGCGTTGATCCTAAATAAATGGGGATTAGAATACGAAAATAATGATAACGACTAATAATTAATGCACTATCGTATGATAATCAAAACAAAAACATCTACAGTTACAATGTCACTTTTCATTCACCAAATTACTCAAAAAATACAAACATATATTACCATTTCCATATATACATAAAAAGTAATGAGTTCCAATAAAATTAATTCACATTAAATTCACTCTATCGCCTTCGTAAAGATCTAATCGTAATTACTCAGATAACATTATCAGCGGCAACCAGACATTGACCGGCGTTTATTTATCAAGGCAAATCTAATAGACATGCTAATTCTCCGGCCGCGTGACAGATTATATTAGCAATGCATGCGTTACATTTGCGCGAATGTAAGCAATGCTATTACATTACGCTTCGAAATCAGTTGGGATTACATTAAATTGAATAAGAAATGTTTGACTTTGATTAGTTTTTGATTCATAAAACCATAAAAGTGATCTTGAAATATTATGAAGCATACAAACTACCCTTGTCTTTGTGCCAATATTTAGGCAATTGTGGGCATCAATATACGTGTTTA